CTTTGTTTTGGATGTTCTGGGTCTCTCTGACTCTGCTGCAGTTTGTTAGGTAATTTTCAGATTGCAAAGGGCCAAGCCTTTCATATGCAAAAGTCTCTGCACACTGCTTGGGTGGGGCGGGGTCTCAGGGAATTAACAGGGCAGAGCAAGCAGCTATGGCTGCCCCTCAGTCCTACCCTAAGAGGCCCCGTGTCTCAGTGTCTTGGTAATCGCTGTAGGCACCTCTGAGAGAAAGCCGCCCGCGAGTTCCAACCGATGCCAGATAGTCCAGTTTCTCCCCATACGAGTCTGGGTCCCCAGACACTCACCCAGAACTGGACTTCAGAGCAGTCAGGAGCTTGAGACTCCCTCTTGATTGAAAAAGACATCGGCTTCCTCCGTTGCCAGCCCTTTCCACATGTGCTTCCATACCTCTGCACTTTACTTCTGCAGCTCCTCTGAGTCTCAGTGTGCTTTTCTCTTTCCTTCTAGTTGTAGAATTTCCACTCAGCCAGCCTTCCTGTGGTTCTGGGTGATGTCTGTTTTGTCTTTCAGTTGTATTTTTGAAGTGGTTGTGCGAGGCATCAATTTCCAGTGTTTACCTATGCTGCCATCTTGGTTTCTCCCCCTAGAGGTCTATTATTAACCGTCATGTAGTAGGGGTCCTTTTAGGCTGCAGTTTTAGGCTAAAATTTAAATTAGCTGTCAGTTTTATGAAATATCAAAATTATGACAAACTATTATTATTGTAGGAAATGTAGAATAGTGTTTTTTAAATTCTTTTTGTCACCTTTTGTGATCCCTTTGAAAAGCTGATCAAAGCTATACATCCAGAGGCTCATTCAGCCTCAAATTTCCCTACTATTTTAGAGTGTTTATCAGCCCCCTTAAAAATTCTTCCTCACACCATTGACTTTGAGCTAAAACCTTTATTATGGGTCATAATCCTACAATTAATGTCTGTATGTTCACCAATACCCCAAAACAATATGCAAGTGGAAAAAATAAATCTTGATAAAACTTGTGAACTTAACCTAGTGG